GAAGAAGAAGTTCATCTTGAGATATATTATAAAGAGAGTCTCACAGTGACTTGAAATTCTTATCATTCTTCTTTTCTAACTTAATACTGTGATTCACTTCTGAGTCTTATAAAGAAGGTATATTGATAATATTATCTTATTGAAAGATATCTAGATATTCATGATATTATTGATAGAGTTTTATATAAGAATCTGTTATTATAGTATAGAATAACTTTGCTAGAGCTTTCTTGATATCAGTCAGACTGATAGAAGATTGATACATAGTTCTGTTATCAGTGACTTTGTTGACAACTCTGTCAGTGATTTTAATAACTCCTTTTTCAAAGTATTTTATAAGTGTTAACCGAGATCTGTGTTAGATTCATAGTCTTATGAATATCATCTTCATAAATTCAATCATTATTAAAGAATATTATACTCCTGTTTCAAGTGTTTAATAAGAGGTTTTATTCAGATAGTCAAGCAAGTTCTAACATTAGATCATAATCAAGATTATCAACTTTATATATATAGATGTCTTCACACTGATCTTCTCTGACATCTATGTTTAGCTTTATTATATAACAGATGTAAACATCTTTTGAATCATTGAATTCTGTAGAAAGTCAGGGTTTTAATAAGAGAATATGCTGAAGATTATAATATCTTACAACTCAAGATTTTATTATTGTATAGTGACATAGACTGCTGTCTATCATGATTTTCATATTATATATATTATCAATCACAGTAGATACAAGAATTGTGTTTATTATTATTTTCTCTTTAAATCATTATTGTCTGATCTCTTCAAGCTTCTGTTTATAAATTTGAACAGAAGCTAATCTTTTCCCTGTTTCATTAGAGCATTCTCATAGTTATCTTTTAAATGTTTCTCTAATATAATGTAGTTGATGTGAACAGGTATTGATTCATTCTTCAAGTGAGAAGATACTTAGATTAATCAGCAGTTGAAAGCAATGTGTTCTGATCAGTTACAGTTAATACACACTTTATATTGACATTAATCAGTGACTTCTTCAGAAGTGATCTCAGAAACTCAGAAGTCTATTTGAATGATGAAAACTCTTGCTTATGTATAGACATTTGAATCTATTCAGTTCATAGCATCTGCATTATTGCTGTTCTTTAGCATAGATGTATAAGTTACTAAGATATAACATCTTCTATCACTGTTCTGTATACTCTTGAGCTTGATAAGATGATTATTCAATGTTCAGAGCTGTGTGTGGAAGCCTTTATAAGTTGAGTCTGCATTTACACTTATAAGAGTCTGTAAGAGTTCAAAAGTTAATGTCTTCTTAAGCATGCTAATCTTCATTTAATTCTTTCAAGATTGATTAGCTACTTCTAAGATCTTGATATCAAAGTCAGAGATAAATGTTGTAAGAGAAGTGTTTCTCTGTTATATACTCTATAATTAATTTAATATCTTCTATTGCATGACAGTGTCTTGGAACAGAATATCAAGATATTTCATGATATTATTAGATATTCATAACACTGATTCACATGCTTTCATTCATGAATTCAACTTCTGTTTTATATGATTCTTCAATTATTCATTAATATATTAATCTTGATTGTTTAATGAACTGATGACATCTTTATCTACACTCAGTTTTATAAGCATTTCCATTCTTCATGATAAGTAGAGAGTGAGATTAGAAGTATTGAAATATATAGAAGTATTTAAGCATTCTTTCAGTGCTTTTATATTTGATTCTGTAGATGTTGAAATTGTATGAGTTAATTATTGAATCTCTTTGTATTGAATATACTGAGTTGTATGCATATCTGCTATCTCTTATTATTATAATTTCAACAGTACTTAGAGTCACTATGATATCACTTCTATACTCACATTTGAGAGTTCTCTTATATTATTATTAGATATGATGATATTATTTTATCAGATATATAATATCTGTGAAATCTGAAGAAGTGTAATTGTATTCTCATATATCTGAGTGTCAGAACTCTCAGGTCTTTCACTGACATTCTCTTTGTAAGATCTTATTACAGAGCTAGAATGACTGATGAGTTGTTACATGTTCAGATATCTGAGTGAGTAATTGTTTCTAATAAGAAGATGATAAATGTTTTTCTAGTATAAGAGGCCTACACTGAATAGATCAGTATTATGTTAATAGATCTTATATAACAAAGAGAAAAATGTTAGAGAAGGAAGGAAAGAGAAAGTGTGAAAATCAGCAATCACAGTGAATATTTATACATGTATATAGTGATGTATGCAGTGAAGCTTCAGAGTGAAAGAATCTATACATGTTTATAACGGCCGAGGATCAGTGATTGAGAATGCCTGAGAATTATTTATGTTCAAGAATGAAGCGGAAGAATCTATGAAGTGTAACAGAATAGTTTATATAATTGATCAGGCGCAGCTCATCACACTATAATTGCTTTTAAATGTGTACTTTTTACTGACACAGCAGAATGTTCTACAGTCATTGAGTAGTTTCACAGTATTCTTATTATTGAATATCTGTTAAGACTTCTTTTCACAGCTTATAGAAGATTCTGATCACTTTAAAACTATCTTTATTACATCACACTAAGAGTTTAAATACTTTACAGTTATTACAATGAGATTTGTAATCTCACTCAGATTCTTTCAGTAATATATAAAAGAGATACTAATATATTTCTTATAATAATTTATCTTAGTCTATATTAATGATATCATTATCTTCTCATATTCATTAAATGATTATCTTCATCATATGTAGAAAGTATTCGCTGCTTTTAAGATATTTAAAGTGATAATATTCTTATTTAAGTATTATTTTATCTACTTCTCTATGTATTTACTCATCTATCATCTCAGCTTACTGAGAATATTCACTTAGAAGTAGAAAATAGCTGTTATTAAAAATCTAATCTTCTCTATATCTCTTAAGAAGCTGAAGAAAATTATCAGTCTCTTTAACTACTACTGTGACTTTGTGAATTTCTATTCAGATAAGATAGAAGTACTGAAAATACTCAAAGTCAAAATACTGTGTAACAGTCTCTGAAGAGATCAGAAGAGAGTATTATATATAATAAAAATTAAATTAATTAAGTTTGAGACATTTCTGTAATTTCAAGCTCTACTCACAAAGGCTTAACTTTTCTTTAATACTGCTAAATCAGTCTTAATAAATACTTTCATAAGAGTATATTCTGACTGAAAGTAACTGTTTATTATACATGTGAATTCTACTAAACAGTGTAGAATAGAGATTGTACTCTATCAGACAAGTACTGATAAGATTGAGAGACTCATTCTATTTCTATTACAATAATAAATCTGATAGAGAGACAGTATTAAGTGACTAAATTAAAGTGTTTAAAATTAATATAAGCTTCAAGAAATCTTTCTCAATATTTTAACTGTGAATTCATTATTAAGACTGATTATATTACACTTATATCTGCTCTTCAGTTATCTGTCACTAAACTGACCGTGTGACCGTGTCTGGGACCAGGATCAGATTTTTTGATAGTTTCATTACCAATTCAACTGATCTCATTACACGGTTTTAACATTAGATAGTAGTCTCATACTGTCTCAGTGAGACTTACTGTCTACTCTTGTCACATTTTCCAAATGAGATCATGATTTCCACTTCTCAATTTAAATTATTTTTATTGCTTTAAATGACTTTAAATCTTGTTTGAGTATTATCAAAAAGTGTTACTTTTTAAAAAATTAAAAATAGTCTAAAAAAAACCTTAAAATGTCTAAAAATAGTAACTTTATGCCAAGAATAAGACTAAATGGGACCAAATGAGACCACTTTCTTATTTTTTTCAAGTCATGGTTTCATTTTAAGATCTGATATATAGTCACTTTACCTGTTTTTTTAATAGCCAGTCCCAGCGGGATTCATGCCAAGAAATGTATGAGACCAGACCAAATGGAATCAAATGTGAAATTCATGGTCCCGGCGGCCAGTCTATCTGTCACAGGTCATTGAAGTAATCAATTAACAAAATAAGTCTTAACTCTTAGTATGTATATCTTACACATGTAAATATGCTATTATAAAGACACTTTATCTCATAATATTAATACACTCTTCTAATTATACACTCTTGCAGACAATTCTGAAGAGATGTCTTAGAATAATTAAGAAAGAATACATGAAGTACTCACTCAGTAAGCTAATAGAACTAAGAGTAAGTTTATTACTACTGTATTCAATATAGATGTTACTTTCTTAAATAATATCAAAAATTAATTATGTAAGAATCTATCAGCTAATTTAGTCTTGAAAAACATCTATTATAAAGTGATGTAAGAGAGAAAATATTATTTATTTATACTTAAAGATAATCTTTTATTCTTTCTCAATAATTATATCTGTATTACACAGATCTAAGTAGAAGATCTTATTCACTTGTATTATAATACTGCTGAAGACTCTGATCTTCATTAAACAGAAAATATTATACACTGATTCTTCTTCTTATCTCATACTTATAAATGAATTCTTGATTATATATTATATTATCTCAATTGTCAACTATCTAAGCTGTTAAATTACTTTTAGTGAGAGAAATTATATCTTATCTCATCTCTGAAAGAATTATTTGAGATTCTGTTAATTAATTTTATTACTGAATTGCTGATATGTAATAACTGTAACATAATACTGACAGTTATAGATAAATTCTTAAAAGCTGTTATTCTAATTACAGAGTAAGAGAAATGAAATACTCAGTAGTGAGTAAAAGAGTTCTATAGAGAAGTAGACTGCTATTAACAGCTCTCACTAATAATTATCTCAGATAGAGATCTAAAATTCACATTATAATTCTAAAATAGTATTTTTTAACAGATGAGAATTAAGAGCTGAATAATAACTGTTTATAATTCTCATTTAAATGATCAGAGTAAGTGAATAAATCTCACTATTAAAATTACTTTACAAGTGCTTCTCATAGACAAGTATGAATTATCTTGAAGAACTCTACTCAATCAGGTGAAAAGAGCTTTGAACTCAGTAGCTACTTACTCAGTAATAGTCTCTTCATTTGAATTACTTATGAGAGTGAAGCTGAGATAGCTGCTGCTGAGAAATAAAGAAAACTGAGCAGATATAGCTGAATTCATCACAATCTGTAATACAGTATAATGAGATGCTCTAGATTTATACACTCTTATGAAAGCTAAAATGACTGAATTCTTTGACTGCTTTTATACTCAATCAGTTATCAAGATAAGAAACTTTATCTTTCTTAATCTAGCCTGCAAGAATGAGAAAGAATATGTTATTCCCCTCGCTTCATCGCGCGGATGGCTTGGTCTGTCGGCTCATGGTTTGACAATGATTCATTTAAATAGACAGAGAGCAAGAGATTATTACCGAACAAATCAACCAATGAGTAATTCAGTTTCAATCATCCGAGGGCGGCTTAACCTCCACCTTGCCTTTCCCTACCTCGCTCCAATTCGTGCTGAGTGCCGTCCCCTCGCTCTCGTAGTAGCTCTTTACCATAGCCCTTCGGGTATCAGGGTCAGCCTTAGCGTACAACTTCTTGAAAAACGAATCTACCGGGTCCCCACTCCCATAATCTGAATTATCGGACTCAGCACCTTCATCCTCATCGTCGACACTTTCCTTGGCGTCCTTGTCGGCTGCCAGAGATTCGTTTTCTTTGTCCTTGGATTCTTTCTTCTTCTTTTTCTTGGTTAGGGATGAGGCTACTTTATCCCAATCTTTAGGACCCGTGCGGGATGAGGTAGGGTATGAGGGAATCTGATCGGTAGACGAGGTTACGGTGTTTGGTCGTGGTGCTACAATGGCTGTTGGTGTTATAGTAGAGCTGGTAGTTACATTGCTGCCCTGTCGCGATGTCCCTTCTAGTCCGCCCCATTTTTGACCCGGCTGTTTCTTGCGGAGAATTATTTCTATTTTCGTAGACATCACAGTTGCCTTGGAGCTGGTTGAATCAACGGGTGAAAATAGGGGGTAAAGGTTGAAAGAATAGTCTGAGCCAGACACCGTGGGGAATGTTACGGAGAGCTGCGAATAGTTAGCAACGCTAGGCAGAGGATCCATGCGAAAGATATGGCCAATTCCATATACATACCGAGTCTTCCTGGATATCAACATCCGCTTGTTCCTTTGGTACACCCTTCGCATAAAGCGTTATGACCACCGTATCGTGTGTTTGATACCACTCATGCCTTACCTTGGTTGTAATGGGAGCTTGTGGGGGAGGTGCGGTAGACGGCTGCTTTGGCACAGGTGTAGAAGATGGCGCGAGATTTCCTAGCCCGGAGACTCCCTTGCTGCTATCTATAGATCCTTTATTCGCGTCCATAGTTCCCGTAGACATCCCCGCACCTCCTTCCAGCTGCTTGCGAAAAACCTCCTTCAGCTTCGCTTCCTCCGGCACCTTGATATCAGGATACTCCTTAACTGTAACCTGCAGCCGCTCATCGCCCTTCTCCAATTTCCTCATCCAATTCCCTACCTTAATTTCCCAAATATCCAGCTCTTTACTCGTGGTCTTCGCAGATGTGGCACCGCCGCCACTATTTGCCGCCATCGCAGACTCCATGGTATTCGACACGCTCGGGCCAATTTTACTCCTCACGACCTCAAACACAAAGTGCGCATCTCCGTATCTCCCTAGCTGATAGAGAACAATAGCCCTGCGAATTTGGCCAGCTAGTATCTGTTCCCGTCTCGCACGCTGCAGAGCCAGTGCCACGGCCATTTCAGAATCATGAAGAGCTGCCTGGCCGTTGGGGCCTCCATCCTCCGCGCGGAGACGTGAGTATGCGGTCGACCGTTTGATGTAGTAGTCTGTGGCGTGGGGGTTGACGATGAGGGCGCGCGTATAGAGTTCGATTGCCGCTGGGAAGTTAGAGGCCGCAAGAGCCTTTGCGCCTCGTTGGGCCTCATCCATTGTGAGTTGGTAGGCTCAACGGAGCTTGGGGTTGTGTGAAGTTTGCCAGGAGTTACGTTGGAGGGTGGGGCTTGTTGCGTGATATGAGGAAAAAGTATGCGAGCAAGTTAAAAGATTATTGCTATCCGCGCATGTAATCTCAAAATAATAAAGGGCAGGAGGACGTTAGGGTGAGTGATTTAAAATGTGGTGTTGTCTGGGTTTGCTACGGTGTTTGAGATGGTGAGCTTCGAGGAGCTTCAGCGGAGGGGCATTCTAAAACCAACGTAATAGTCTAGCCAGGCCGTAGCGGCGGCCGCCTTGGTGGCGTTGCGCTAGCGATCGCTCCCCTTCACGTGATCTCTCCTCTTGTTGGTGATTACTACACCTACTGTTGGAGGATAATGTAGGCTACTGGGGCAAAAGAGCTCAATCACCACCAGCGCCTGCTGGCCGATCAACCGCGGGACCCCCAACACCCCCCCTCAGACCAGCTATCACAGAGTACAAGTACTTCCTCTCAGTGGCTCCCTTCAGTGGTCTCCCCACAATGGCTCCTTTTTAATAATGGACTAGACCACTCAGTTCTAGGACTCACAGGACTTCTAGGGCACACTCCTGAGATGTCTCTTAGCACTGTTAAAATGTCCAGGGTAATTGTTAGGAATTTTTAAGTTCATTCTGGGATTGAACTCATGCATGTTGATCACAGCAGGGCTCACACTTAACAGTCTTATAATCTGTAGGCTACTGGGACAAAAGAGCTCAATCACCACCAGCGCCTGCTAGACTGACCGTGTGACCGTGTCTGGGACCAGGACCAGATTTTTTGATAGTCCCATTACCAATTCAACTGATCCCATTACATGGTTTTAACATTAGATAGTAGTCCCATACTGTTCCAGTGGGACTTACTGTCTACTCTTGTCACATTTTCCAAATGAGACCATGATTTCCACTTCTCAATTTAAATTATTTTTATTGCTTTAAATGACTTTAAATCTCATTTGAGTGTTACCAAAAAGCATTACTTTTTAAAAAATTAAAAATAGTCTAAAAAAAACCTTAAAATGTCTAAAAATAGTAACTTTATGCCAAGAATGGGACTAAATGAGATCAAATGGGACCACTTTCTTATTTTTTTCAAGTCATGGTCCCATTTTAAAATCTGATATATAGTCACTTTGCATGTTTTTTTGATAGCCAGTCCCAGCGGGATTCACGCCAAGAAATGTATGGGACCAGACCAAATGGGACCAAACGTGAAATTCATGGTCCCGGCGGCCAGTCTAGCGCCTGCTGATAGAAGGGCCGATCAACCGCGGGACCCTCAACAGATAACGTTGTGGTATATGTGTAATCTACCTAAGGTGAAGCTATATAAGTTGGGTGGCACGTGATTGGGGTAGATGTAGTAATTATCAACACCCTCTCTTATTATTATTATTATTATTATTCTTTCATTATACTTATATAACACCCTCTCTTGCTATAACACCTTATCAATTGCGCTGCCATCATTCCACTCATTCCATCTCAATTCTTTCAAAAACACAATAACAATTAATTACATCAATCAGACTCTGATTTTCTTATTAAAAAAAGTGTCTGTATAGTAATAACTGTAAAAATCAACAGATACACAGAAAATCTATTAATACACTGTATTATTATTATCTTAGTCTCTCTTGATCTCTTTCAAATCAATCTTCTCAACAAACTTCTCAAATGCTGGTCTTGCTAATGACTTGGTCAGATCATCAGCTATATCAGCTGTGAAATCATCATGTTTCATCACAATACATTCTGTTTCAATCAAATCTCGGAGAATATGATACTCTATCTTGATGTGATGCAGTTCTTGTGCCAGAGATTCTTCTTTTTCTAGATTGATTTGCCTTCTTCATAGCGGGCAGTATTGTCTCTTATTTCTTGTCAGTATTTTACACCCTCTCTAGTGAGTATGTTCTTTGTGATTCTTTTCATAGATGCACTCTCTCTAATGAGTATGTTCTTTGTGATTTCTTTCATAGATGCAAAGGTTGAACACAGATGTGTCATTTTTACTTAATAGATTCTTGATAAGACTTATTAATCAATAATTCTTATTTCTAGGTGTGAATCTGCTGTCATTTTTATGATATCAGTTGAATTGAGATGTTCAAGTTTCTGATGCTGTTTCATTGTTATATATTTCATAGCTTTCATATCATTTCTCTCTGATAATGTCAATATTGCATCATTATCTGTCATTCGCATGAAATTTGCAGGTGTGAAACTATCATCAGATACAGGAAAATGAATCATATCTCTATATATTATCATCTTCTTCAACTCATAGATATCTCTATTATTTAATCTCGCGGTAAATGAGAACATTCTGTCAGAAGATACCAGCAATATACTGTGATTATTCTCATATATCAATTGCTTAAAAGTGTATTCTTGCCATACAAGCTTTCTCAGACTGATAAGATTGACTTTCAAATTCAGAGTATAACAGACATCATTCAATATTATATTTATTTCTTCAACTGAAATGCTTGTATCTCTGACTATTATGACAGAGACTTTGACTTCATCTGTTATTATTAATGATAATGTTGTTACATTCTTTCTTTCTCTCACAACAAGATCTCTATAAGGTGTGACATAAGCATCTGATTCAGAGTTCAATATTCAAGTATTCTTTGTCAAGTTATTGTTTGAATAAGTCTCATCTCTTAAGCAGAACATTTGTTTCACAATACTGTGAATAGAAGCAGTATCTGTGTTATCATTATTCTCATTCTTATTCTTCTTATTGATATTGAAAGGATGTTTTTCCAGGTATTTCGTTCAACAATCATTCTGAATATGATCAACTCTTTGACAGTGATAGCATGTTTTCATTTCATTTCTAAGTCTGGGATTATCATCATTGTTTCTTTTCTTATTCAATTCTCACTTGTTATCAGTTGTATTCATTATTACATTCTTTGAAGCTTTTCTCATCACTGAGAGATGTAGCAAGATATCTTGACAAAGACTCATGAAGTCAGCTTTAAGAGATTGACTATCATTCTTATCAATCTGATTCATTCAGTTTCTAATAAATGATGCTTATATCTCACTCACTTCAGTGAGTAGACAGTCAAACAACATGTAGTTCTCAGCCTTAAACCTGAGATGTATATATTCAGTTTGTATAATAATTAAATGTTTAATAAAGATGCAATCTGATTTCTTTAACTTGACAGACAGAGTTATAATTTCTCTATACAATCTTGTTCTTCTAACAGCAGGTCTTTCAGTAAAATTCTTTTCTATAACTTTTCACACAGTATAGATGAATAGCTCAGATTTCTTTGATACTGTAAAATGAGATTTCACCTGTGAAGCAATCGCGGATCATATATAATTATACAGCTACATATTATGTGCTTCTCAAAATCATTGCATGTCATTGCTTGCATTCTTCATGAAACTGACTTGCTTCTTATCAATGATATTAACTGTGTGAAATTGCTTTATGATTAATAAGATCTCTTTCTTTCACATTGAATAGTTCTCAGAGTCTGTGAGAATAACAGGCTTTCTGATGTACTTAACATAATCTTAAAACTCTCTCAGAATCTTCATCAGTTCTGATGTTCTTTCTTACTGTTATAAAAATTCTGTCAGATCTGCACAGACAGTGTTATTACTACTAGTCAGAGTCTTACTAGTTCTGCTAGCTTTCATCTGTTCAATTTCATATTGAAGTTTCACTATTTTCAATCTCATACAAGTCAACTCATTCACAGAATTCATATCACAGTCACACTAGCTATTCTCTTTATTTAACATCTTAGTGATGTATTCAATAATCAGATCTTTAAAATCATTATTGAATTCATTTGCTGTAGATATGCTTCAGCTTGTTATAGATATTAATAAGTTCACTGTTATTCTCTGTTGCACTTCTATTCTCTGCTGCACTTCTGTTCTCTGTTGCACTTTCAGCACTTCCGGATTTCATTTTCTATGCACTGACATGTATTTCTTCATCAAATCTGGTGTTTTATCAGATCTCAAAGTAATCATAGATTCAAGAAGACATCTAGACACGTTCAATGATACGTGAAGATGTGATTAGTGCGTTATCAGCAGTTATAAAAAAAGAGTCTTATAATCTATTGAAGAATAACATTGTGATATATATGTAATCTATCTAAGATGAAGCTATATAAGTTGAGTAGCACGTGATTGAAGTAGATGTAGTAATCCCCCACACCTACTCTAGTCACGTGCCATCTCAACCTATTCATAGCTGAAAAACTTAGACTTATTTTATCTCAGTAAGCTCAGATGCTTCTTCAGATATTCATTACTATTTTAACACTGAATTAATGATTATGTCATGAGCTAACCTCAAATAAGCAATAAGCTAACTGAAATAGTAAAATCAGGTTATGTGAGTGATAATATCTTACAAAGTGTCTGAGAAGAAATAGTTTCTGATTATTAGTAATACAGGAATAATTTACTCAGTACTCTGAGTATGAAAGAGAATTTCAACTCAACTTCATAGATTCATCATTTCTGTATCATCTTAGAACCTTAGAATAACAATGTTCTCATGATGTATCTGATTTTTATATTCATATCTCAAGTTCTTAGAATAGAAGTATCATCTTAAAGTTGATCAGTGTGTTTTTGAATACAGGAATTTTAATTCAATTTCTCATACAAAAAAAAGCTCTTAGAAATTCTGAGATTAAAAAATATAATCATTTTCAAGAGTATACATCTATCATAAATATAGATTTTTTTGAAATATTAAAGAAATATTTCTATTCTTCTTCTCTTTAGCTATAAGCTAAGGTGATTTTCAAATCTCAAAGATATGTGAGTATGTAGTAATAGAAAGTCAAAGTTGAAGAATCTAAAAAATTCTTGTAAATCTCAGAAATCTTCATTAAAGATGAAATCATTTCTTCTCAGACTCTCTGATGAGGATTGCTCTGAGCACATGACTTGTATCAAAAGTAGATTAGTGTCATGCCGGATTAGTTAATAATAATGCTGCAACCTGTTCAAACCGAGTCAGAGAGTCTGAGCCCGCTGAGATAAGACTTATTATACGCCCGGGTTATGATTGTTCTGCTGTGTCAGTTGACGACACTGTCACTGAATCATAAAAGTTAATATAATAATGAATTAGCTGTGAAATCACTGTAAATAAGTTATGAATAGAATAAAATCATTATTATATTAATAATATCACTAATTTCTATCTATATAATTACTAATTCTAAAAAACATCTCATTCACTGAAATCATTCTCTATTAAAAATCTGTCACATTTCTCTGTAATTTCTTCTGAATTCTCTGAATCATCTCTATAATATTATTATTGTTTTC